TACTCAAAATTCTATAGCGTAGTGGTAAAAATCTTCCGAGCATTTTCAGTCCTAAAATATTTCAAACGACCAACTTTGTATCGTTTAATTACTGCACAAATGAAAAATACTACATCTATAAGGTATTTTCTCTCTCCTTTCAGCATGCCTTTGTGGTGTGATTGAAAGTATAATCGACGGGTATTCGAGAGGTCCAGGGTTCGGGCCCCGGCGAAGGCACCGCACATTTTTCACGTCTCCTGCTCCAAGAAAAGCTAAGACTCTACACATTCTAATATATGTAAACAAGAACTATACAAGCATTCAGGAATAAACTTAACTTGCAGCAAAAGCATTAATTCCTACGTTAAAACTGCGAAATATAAGACAAAATTAAAATTAAAAGCATAAAAAAGAGGGAAGTCTTTCATAGAAAAAAATGGAAAAATTCGTAAATTTCCTTTCACGGGATTTCGCCACTGGAAAGCGGAGAACACTGGAAGTTTGTTCCTGGTTTTTATTGCCGATTTGCAACAAAAGTACGAGCTAGTTTCGCTTTCAAAAGTCCTCCGCGAAGACAGTCTTTTCTAAATCAGACAGCCTTTACATGCTTTTCTACGGTTAATTGATAAACTAAATCCTTTTTTCAGAGTGATAAGTACGGTTAAAGGATAGCTAAGGATGATGAAAGATTTAATGACTTCAAATACTATATATATAATATATATATCTGTGTATGTTTTAAACAGTTTAAATAACTTAACTTTTTACAACCGAAAACAAATTTATACTTATGTTAGTAAGTTTTCTGGGACAGTTTCTAAAGCGAAGACGGTCACTATGATTTCAAATTGGGGCGAAAAGAATTCAGCAGCATTTTGTACATCTTACATGAACCCCGCGCAGCCTCTAGAAATGAGTTCATCGACATCTAGTACGCACAAATGGAAAGAAAAAGAAGACTGATTACAAACTTTTGCAAAAAGTGGGCGTTTCTCGAGGTACGCTTTCTGCTATTCGAGGGGGGATTCCCCCTCCTCCTCGACAAAAATGAATATGCCCTTCATCATTCCCTATGTTCAGCGTGTCGGCCTAGGAGGAAATTCTGTAAAATTTGAAATATATGCTTTCGCCTCTGAAAAAATATGTCACAATACCTACATACAATCCATAGATACTCCAAACTAAATCAAGTTAGCATACCGAAGAACTTAATTTAATTATCCTAATCTTTACCATCTCCAGTAAAGGCCTTGGCAATGACTTCCCTTTTTCGTGTTTTTTGTGGACTGCGTTTGTTTACCTACCAAATTATAATCTTTTTTTCTAACTGTCATTATGGGAATCTCACTGAGATTTTTTTTTTTTTTTTTTTTCATCAAGAGGGCTTGGTTATAATTATTTTTGTAATAAATATCGTTTCATCTTTTGTTCACCACTATTACAGTTTCTCATAAAAATGAATTGTTTATATTTTCTGCGAGCATTTTTAATATTAAATTATGTGAAAAATTCAAAAAATTTAAATTATATTTACTGGGAAATTTTTAAATATTTTCCCAGAACAGGAATCACGAAACCAACTGAGTACAAGTTAAGAATATTGCCATCTCGTTCGAATCGATAACGTAAAACGATAAAAATAATGCTTTTAAAATTTTTTGCAAAATTTTCTTTAATATCATTGCTACGCTGAGATGAAATTTAAAAACGATTTGACAATAATTAATGACAAAAAAAAAGCTTTTAATTATTTTGACAGCTCTTTAAATGCCCCGCTTACCTCAATGTTTACATTTTGTTACTTATTAATTGCCTCATTTCTTTGTTAAAAATAAATATAGAAGAGGAAGGCAATTAACTGCGACTGTAACTTTTAGCCAACTCTACATGTGCAATTTCATCCTCTGTATTCTTACTTAAGCCCATAAGGTTTTTTTTTTTTTTTTTTTAAATGTATAAAATGGGCTTTACGTATTTTTTAACCCACTTTTTTGCCTGGCTTTAAAAAATTTCATATCAAACAAAATTATTTTTCGTTTTAATTATTCAAAACAAAATTTTAAAAAATTGAGCTTTTCGTTATTAATATCGAAATTATTTATCTACGAAATTATTTTTCTTTGCCCTCTTTCTGTTTACTTTTCCTTCCTACTTAAGCTCGATTTTTCGCTCTGAGGACAGAAAAACTAATTGGGTGCAAAATAAGACATCTGCCTACTTTGTCTGTCTGTTTGAGATATTGAGTGCTGAGATAGAATACTGAGTGCAGTTTCAACTAACTATTTTTTACGTTTTCCACTTCTGAACTGGCAGTCTCTTTTTACCCCTCTTTTGCTCAGCTCAGCAAATATTTGCTGTGTATATTATTAGTTAATTTAGATGTTCCTCCTCAGAAACGGAAATTACGTGTAATATATATGAAAAGAAAGAGTTATATAAAGGCAATGATCAAATTCCTAATTGCAGCGTTTCTGAAAATCATTCTGGAACAAATACTAGGCTACATAATTTATTGTTGAAAAGAGCGAAATATCTGATTCAGAACATTATATTGTAGTGAATTTCAAACAAATTAGTAATCTAATTAGTTCTGTGGAGCGTCTTGACTGTGAAAAACAAATTTTACGCTTGAAATTGGAATTAAATTAAGATTCCTTTTAATGTTTTAAATCTGACTGGCAGATCCTGTGACGGTAAAAAATCTTCTGTAAACTCTTGAGGAAAGACAGCTAATGTTGGCTATGACGCGAATTTAACTCAATCCTTTTCACATGTAAGTAAAGGATATGCAGCTAATGAAAAGGTTTGTATGCTCATGAACACTCTACCATTTTCGTAGAGATTTTGAATATTCTGTTGCATCGTAAATTATGCTTGCGGACATTTATAAGGAAACTGAAAGAGTGTATCAAAGCAGCTGTCCGAATTCTGTAGAAATTTTCGACATGGTTTTTCTTCTGATGGAAATCACTCACATGCGTGGGACGCGTTATTGATATCCTTACAGGTTAAGTGATTGAGTTTGAAATAGTGAGCAAAGTATGTCCTCACTGTTCATTAGCGAAAAGGAATAAGAATTAAAGTACTGAATTTAAAATATGGTATGCTGGGCTTAAAGAGTGTGCGACATAAACCACTCAGGATCATCTGTTTCAGTGGGAATGAGATAGAATAATGCATTAATTCTCTGGAAAAGATTCTTATCATTAGGATTTCGATATTCAACTCTGCTATCTATGGTGATAGCAAATTTTTAATTAATTGTGTGAAAAAATTTTTACGTTTCTAACATTGAAGTAAAAAAGAAGAATGTATAAACTATGTTAGTAAAAGGTTAGGAACAGGTTTGAGAGCTGTTGTAAAGGGCTGGCGTGTTCAAGGCGTTACTTTGGGGGAGGAAAGCTATCGGTAGATTGAAAGAAACAACAATAAAAAAAGCCTACTTGTTATTACCCGAAAGCTATTCTACGATATAAGGATGATGTGAGCACAATGAAAACAGCAATATATGCTACCTTCTAACGCAACATTTCTATAAGATAACAAACTCCAGCACTCGAAATGTTCAGCGGGTACAGGTGCTTGGTGCTTTTACCAATCAACATTAGCCAAGGTGAGATGCCAAGCAAACATAAACTGAAAGTTTGAACATCAATAAATGAAAGCTTTTTTCCAAAAATTCTTCCCATTTATCAGAGGCTTGTTTCAAATGAACTGCTCAAAAGATGTGTACGTTACGGAACTTCAAAAGCTAATGAAAGTTTGCATGACTTAAACATGTCTGAAAGAAATATTTGTGAATAAACTACCTATGAAACGTTCTGAAACGGAAGCAGTATGTTAATTCGGTAAAGAAACACTATGTTCTATAAAAGAAAAACACAAAAAGGCGTTAGGCATCAATCAGGGAAATGCCACAAAAAAGTGTTCACTGTTATTTTAGATAATTAATTTTAGCTAAAAAATCGAATTAATCCCTTATGCTGCTGAGCACTATTGAGTAAAATGATTCCATATTCGCTAAAATGTTGAAATAAACAACAAGCTAACGTTATTGACACAGATTGCAATGTGTTTTACCAAATAAAAACAGATAAGGAAACAGCATTTATATTTAATGATTTTTCTTACAATATTTCTGGTCAGGTACAATTTTATATAAAAACTTATAACTTCTGTTTATATTCACGAAGTGAATTGCAGCAAGTTTAATTTTAGATATATATACACAGAAATTAAGTTAAAATATATAATATAAACATTTCTATAAACATTTTAAGAGTTTGCAGTCTCTAAACTGTTTTAAAATGTCTCAGTTTCCATTTTTCTGGTAAAACTTATATTTAAAATCCTAAAACCTTAATATGTACCAAACTGTTTGCTGTTTTTACAACATACTTATTATTATTAACATAATAGAACCAAGAATGCATTTTGCAATATATAGATAAGAGAAATATTGAAACTGAAAAATCCAATGAAAATCATATCCTTTTCAAAAGGTTTTACACACATAAACATATATATATATTATATATATGTGTGTGTGTGTGTGTAAACATATATATATGTGTGTATGAATTTATATGCTTTTTTCCCCTCAAAAGATAATCCATTAATTGCAAAATCGATCCCCGAAGATTAGTTATGAAAAACGTTCCAATAAACATAAAAAAATTTGGAGGCAAAAACTATGAAAATTGAAGAAGAAAAATATTCTAATTTTTAAATAAAAAAACTTAAGTCTTATGTTTTGTTAAACTATACAAATATACTTTGTTAATTTTCTCCTTTCATCCGTGTACTGCATAATAATTATGTTATTTTAACCTAAACTTTCAAATGTACTAGAATGTACATCATCATATCCAAAATTATTTTAAATTAAATTAAATTCTTTTCTTTTCTCTGTATTCAGTTTCTTTGCAGATAGATGTCCTCCTTTCATTTTGAATTAGAATAATATGATATGTCTAATATAATCTTATACAAAATTTTAGATATTTTAAGAATCTTACCTTTAAAAAGCATGTTCCGACGTTTTCATTTTCTGCCACAGTTACATTATAAAAGCTTTGATCGAAAATGGGTTCGTTATCGTTTACATCACTAATTGTAACGACAATTGTAGCACTAGAAGAAAGAGGTGGTAACCCATTGTCCGTTGCTACTATAGTGATCTGAGGAATTGGATTTGTTTCGCAATCGATGTGGGTTCGGGTGGTGATAAGTCCGGTACGGCTATCAATCTGAAACCAATGAGAATTAGTTTCAGGCGTATCTTTTATGGAATAGGAAACAATGGAGTTGTTTCCCTCATCGCGATCCACAGCAGACAGTTGAAAAACTGAAGTGCCTGGATCAGCAACTTCCAGTACGTTGGCATAATACATAGTATGGTCAAACTCCGGGGCGTTATCGTTGGTATCCGTTACACATAACTCAAATGTACGAGACGTATTCAGAGGTGGATTGCCCTGATCCGTAGCCGTCACAACCATCGTGTAGTTAGGTTTTACTTCCCTATCCAAAGGGTGAGATACAATAACTAAGTATATTATATTGTCTTGTGTTGTTAATCCAAAGTAACCGTCACCACCCTGAAGTGTAACGTTAACATTTGCATATTCTTCTTTAGAATCAGGGTCATTTACACTGATTCTGGCAACAAATTCACCAGGACGAGCATCTTCCGAAATTTTTGGTGATGCATCTTCGCTAAGAAATATCAGATTTATAGTTGGTTGATTGTCATTCACATCTGTAACGCGAATGGAAACGAAAGCAGTAGTTTCTAAAGGTTGAACACCGCTATCTCGAGCAACCACAACCAACTCATGTACGTCTTTGGATTCAAAATCCAAAGGCTTATTCACAGAGATGACTCCCATTTTAGGATCGATGGAAAACTTATTTTCTCTATCACTTTGACGGCGATTAATAGAATATGTAATTCGACTATTTTCACCAGTATCCGTATCAGTTGCAAACACCCTTAGAACACTAGTACCGACAGTAGCATTTTCAGCTATTGTTGCAAAATATCGACTCTGATTAAAAATTGGTTGATTATCATTGACATCCTGAATCGAAATATTTACAGTCATGGCACCTTTGAGTGGAGGAGTTCCACCATCGTAAGCTTCGATGAGAAGACTATAAAATGGCGTTGTTTCCCGGTCCAGGAAACCATTTATTTGTAGATCTAAGTAAAGAACATCATCGCGTTCACGATGCGAAGACAGCCGGAATGCGTTGTTGGTATTGCCAGACACAATTTCGTAGCGTTGTGTATTAAAGATTCCTAAATCTCGATCTTTAGCAGGATTCAGGGTTCTTTTCATATCACGAGGGGTGTTTTCCGGAAATTCAATAGTCATGAAAGGAGTTGGAAACTTCGGAGCATTGTCGTTTTCATCACGAACTTTAATCTCAACACGAATATTCTCTCCACTAAGTGGTATAGCCACAAAGGAATAATAACTCCTCACTTCTCGGTCTAACACAATACTACTGCGAATTTCTCCTGTTGATTGATCAATCTGAAGATCAGAATCAACAGCACTACCTGGCACTGGAACTATTAAATATGGTGGCGGAGGGGGCGGCGGCGGTTTTGGATTGCCAGGCCGGCTGTGACCGATATAGCCAATTGTTGTTCCAACTCCTAGACCCTCAGATATCTCGAACTCTTGCAGATATTCAGTAAATACTTCTTTACATTGAGATAATAATATAGAAAACACTAATTTTAGAATTAAATTGATTCGACATCTCGTAGTAAAGGCCATAGTCATACATTCATCAATGCTTGCACAACTAATAACTTAGCTTACAACAATCGGATCTTTTTATGCGGACGGTAAATGCACAAGTTATAGACAGAATGGCTTCATCCGCACAAATGAGGTACATATGCTTGCACGATTTCATGTTGTTGCTAACACTAGTCGAGGATGTGGTTTACCTCAAGCCATGTTCAGAAAAGAGACCTAAAAATAAATAGAAATATATATAAATATGGACTAAGAAAATATATACTATTAAATATAAATTAATGCAATAATAAATAGAATTATACAAAATAGATCAACAATTACTCAGATTCATACCAAAGTTCAAACTTGCCCTTGCCTTAATATTTTTATCTTTACTCTTATTATATAAAATAAATTGTCAACCATTTATTTTATAATGTCTTGGGGGGGGAGGAGAAGCACAACTCACACATAGTGTTCTTCCACTGCTTGCTTTTAGATTAGGCTGTTCATATAAAGAAAATCAGATACTGGCTAAAAAAGGACATTTTTAAACTATTCCAAACATAATTTTTATATTTTTAGTATTTTCTACTATTAATAATTTTCTGAACACAAATGCGGATCAGAAAACCATTAGTATATATCTCTAGAAAACAGAGGAATAGCTATTTCATACAAAAATTTTCAGTCCATAATGAAAGCGTAAGAAGCTGAAAATAAGCAGTTAAAAAACACGCGTATTGCACTTATAGCCTCTTTATTAATTCTCAGACAGCTTATAAATTTTAGTTATATTTTTACACTGTTAATCCACGTTTACATTAATAATTAACATTTATAAAAGGTTTCCATACATATGCAAATCATCACTATAAATAGTCACAGTTAGCTCTGAACTCTTCATTATAGACTGAATTCTAACTAATATTCGATTTTAGAAATTGAATATAAAACAGTACATCATGCTAAAAATGTTAATAAAGTCTACTAGCAAAAATCAAGAGGAGAAAAAAAGATGTTTTCCCATTGTGAAATTCTTGAAAAGCACTTTTTAAAAACAGATGGAAAACACTTGATGATCACCAAATAGCACAACATTTGTGTGTGCACAAAAGCGTATCATGTTACTGAATCTATATTATATATAAACATATATTTAATAATAGAAGAGAAAACAAATTTGTTGGTGCTAATCAAAACTTTTATGAATACACGTTTTGAAAAAATGAAATACAAGAATAGAAAAATGTCAAAATCGCCCACCCGCGATGCCATGGCTTCTATCTTCGACGAAAAACGCGAAAATTACCTCCTTCTTAAAAAAAAAAAAAAAAAAAAAAAAAAAAACTTCAAACCTATGAAACTTTTCGTACAGAAATTTTTGAATTGTAAGAAAGGCTTAAAAAATCGAGGAGATAGAGCTGCCACACTAAAATCCTATTCGCCGCCAATCACACAGATAGAGTTGCACAACCTCGCCAACAATGGTTTTGTTCATCAAACAAATAAATTCCGTGCTCCAGGAACAGGGAAATTGAATTACAATCTGAAAAAATTTTAGGAACTAGAAAAGATTTCCTTTCTCTCTCTCTCTATTTTATTTTTATTTTTATTTTTTATTTTTATTTATTTATTTTTTTTTTTAATTTCCGAAGATTTTTCCTCACGTCAAAACTAACAGCTACGATTAAATCTTTAAAAAAAAACTTTTTTATGAGTTCCTTGAATCAATTATTATTTGCAATCAGCATTTAAAAAAGTTTTTTGGGACAGCGTATCAAAAGTGAAAAACTAAATTGGGAAAATGGGGTAATAGTTGTAAGACAGTTTCAAACCCAATCAAAACTACTGTCATTATCCAAAAAAAAAAAAAAAAAAAATTCTCATTATCAAACCACATGAAATTTTTACACTGGATTCCTGAATTTCACTTGGAGACTATTCTAAATGCATCACAAACATAAAAATTTATGTAATAATCATTTACTAGAAGCATCCAAAGATTAAGGATCCATAAAATCCTCGATCCTTAGCAAGAGAAATAATTTACATTTAAACAATTTGCATTTCCTGTAAGGCAATCTACGTTTAGATTTCTTAGTCAGTGTTACTGTTTATGAAACTGCTAAAATGCTCTCATTTATTAGCGAAGTTTTCAAAAACACAATTCTAAAAGCATAGATGATGGAAGTATACAGTTTCGGAAATTTTAGACGATAATAATTAAATTTTGAATTTTAAAGCAATATCTTCATTCACTTCCGCATCTAAATGACTAAAATTCTTCTCCTCTTCCTTTCTGTACTTGAAGCATTCCTTTTCTACATGGTTGTTTTCTTCCCCAGATTCTCAGTTTATCATATTTGAATATAAATTCTTCTGCTACCATTTAATTTAATTAATTCAAATAAAATATCTAACAGACTAAATATATATCCGGCATGAACTGAGCTTAATTTACATAATTCAATTAAATCTTGTGAGGTACCATACCTAATGCAAAAAATGTCTTTAAATATTTTTCACTTTTAATTATTAGCTTGAGGTAAATTGTCCGTTCGAAAGCTTAGACAAAACTTCTTAAGTAAATAAACTAACTTTCAAAGCAATAATTTATGTTTCTACAAGTTAAATCTTTCCCATTTTTTTTTATTTAATCCTTTCTGATAGTTTCAATTAATGCCGAAAATTTTCATAAACAGTTTTTATATGCTGCAAACCATTTAAACGTGAATTTCGTTTAAATGGTTTGCAGCATATAAAAACTCAAAACAAATGAATATAAAATAAAAATTTAAGAAAAAAAAGTGTGTTAGGAGCAATCGCTTTAAAAAACTCTACTTTTCATTTCTTTTCTGGTGTTTAATACAAAACAAAAAAGAGGGGGGAGGTCGAAAGGCAGGGTAAAAGAATTTCAAAACTTCGTAGATCTATACTTTTCCCCCCCTTATGCTTAAAGCATTTTATTTTATAAATATTTTATTACAGGAAATTTTAGAAAAAAGAAAGTACCAGAACTGAGATGATAATATTATATATACATAAAACATTAATTTTACCTGCATGTTTTGATCTTACGAAAGGCCATGTACACAAATCTTGAAGACTAATTTTTGTTCGTTAACGAAGATATTAAGAAGTAGAGCCAAAAATGGCAACCATGCTGAATAAATTCGTTTGATGGAAGAACCGTGATGGCCGAGTACAGATAAAAAATCTCTAATAGAGGTCGCAGTGTAAGGGAGGGGGGTCGCCATCCGTGCTAGTAGCCACCTTAATGGGCTGACCTTGCCCTCCCAGCACCCGGCTACGTCTGCCCTCTTGAGCCCCTGAAAGCTCGGTCCTTTAAAAGAGGCCGTCTGGTCCAGTCTACGAAAAAAGCTATGTGTTAAAGGCAGATGCTTTAAGAAAGAAGAAACGTAAGATACAGTTGCAATCCGAGGAATTAATTTTCACGCCTTAGTTCCAAATGTTATAGATTTCCAAATGTTATTCATTATTCTGACTCCTTACGATTTACAACAATGTGAATGAACCATTACATGTAGTACTATTACAGAACAAGCATCAACATTAAGTACTCGTAACCTGTATTTTAAACTTGTAACCAAAAGACGGAAGTCTTTTCCGTGAACGACTTTGCTTTTTAAATCCTCTAAGATTGCTCCAAATTATAACTAAGGTTTAGAGGGAAGAAAATTATCAACAGCAATTTTATTTCTTTTTTAACAGTTAGCATTAACTAGAAAGTTTAAACCCACCTCTGTGTTAAAAAGTACAAACAGCTGTAATTTTCGAAAACAGCTTCATTTTTATGCCGTTGAATAATGGAATAATGGATTAGATCTTGTGATAATCAGAGGGAAAAAAAAAAAAAAAAAAAAAAGAAAAAGAGAAAAAAAAAACGATTTCAGTCTGTTCAAAGAGCTTAACATTTTATCCCCCCCCCAAAAAAAACAAGCACTAATTAAAGAATAACTGGGGAAAAAATGTTAAACTATTGTTTGAGTAAAGAGACATTTTCTTCACCAGACATCTTATGTTTTCACAAACACTCTTTCGTGAGATTTTTAATAAAATGAAACGCTTATTATATTATCGTTAAAACACTGAGTATTTCTGCTTTCAACTACTTAGAAGCAGAAGCATTTTGCGTAGATTCTTTATAAATTGCTGCCACCAAATATTAGAGCCCTGTATTATATTTAAAGAAATTAAATAATGAAGAATTTGCATAAAATGTATATATGTTTCTCGCATGTGATAAAACAACGGTACTTAGAGCCATCAAATTTCGAATAACGTAATCCTCCACCGAATATGAGCATCTGGAAGCCCTAATTTGGAATTTGTTTTTATTATCTATTTCATATTTTGTAAAACATTCATGAGTTTTTGATTAAAAAACTCAACAATTTCAAGCGATAGCAACATTGTACGGGGAAAAAAAAACTTTTCGCGCGAGATTGTGTATCGGAAATTCTGAAGATATGCTCATTTTAAAATTATTTTGCGATATTGCTGTTGAATTGAATTTTATGAATTGAATCCCTTAAGTGCGAAGAAAATGATATTTAATAAATAAAGGTAACGCATAAAACGTTTAAAAAAAGTCACTTTGGGCAAAATGTAAAATCTGAAAGATTTCGGATTTTAGAATACTTTTTTATTTTACTTTATTTTATTTACTTATTTATTAATTTTTGTTAAAAGCGAGTTCTAATTTTTACATCTTTTAAATCTGAAGCTTGCACTTATCCTTCCATTAAAATTTTAAAAAATGTCCGCATATATGGCGTAAAAATTTTATTTAATTAATTTCTGCAAAGCATTCATCAGCATGTAATTAACTATAGTAGGTATTTATGCGGGGGTGTTAAATGGAATGCTTGGCGTAGAAACTCGCAAAACACAGCCGAGGACCATTAGGTCAACCGCATTAATGCGCTAATGGTGCTTGAATAGAACACTCCCCTATTTTAAGCAGTTTATTTGAGTCGATACATAAAACCAGCGGTGGTCCACCTATCCTTACATGAAAAGAATTCTTTTCAAAGGATATGATGAAAAATTTGTTATAATTACCCATCTGTAGGTTTAATGAATTTATCAAAATGATATATTAACGATATTTTCTCCTTTTGGAACATTACTGCGAATTATTTATTTATATAGTTGACCCACGAAGTATGCGAGTTGGAACTCTGCAGTACCAGGACTCTATTTATCCC